TTAAGTGTTTGGGGAAAAAAACTATTAAATAAACAGAGCCTCCATATAGTGAGATTAATGTTACCCAATATTTTTTATTAGCATAGAGAAAACTCATAAAAAAGAAATCAACAATGACCAATTAAGCCTACAGAAAAATAATCTACACTTTCAAAAAATAGAATTACGGTATATTTTTAAAGTTCATAAAGAAACATCAAAATCATTCTACACAGATACAGTACTTTACAGTTTATAAGCAATTTTACATTCTATTTTTCCGATACTCCAGTTAGGTAAGCGAGGTATTATTCTTGCCTGCCTATAGCCCCCAACAGATACATAGAAAGGTGTACAATCATGAGTCACATCCCAAATCCTCTGCCTCCATATCATAAGTCTTTTTTCACCATCCCACAGCACGTATTAATTTCATACAGTTGACTAAGAATGGTCACATTTCTTATCTCCTTTGAGCATTCATCCTGGAAATCTATGAACTCTTTTATACCTCATCCTAGTAGGCAGGCAGAGCAGGGCATCAGTCCCTGTTTAGAGAAGACTCAGTAAGCTCACTGATGGTTCTGAAGATGACAAGACTAATCAACACTAAAATTGCAGCATATTCAGAGAAGGATGACCAAACTCGCAAAGGGTTAAAAAATTAAGTAATGTAAAGAGTGGCTGATTAATTTAGAAAGGAGCAGGAGGAGAGAGCGACGCACACACACACACACACACATTTCGTCATCAGACACACGAAGGGCCAACATATAAAGGAATCAGATTTGTGCTGTATGGCCCTGGGGGTAAAAACAAAGGCAAATTAACATTCATGCAACAAACATTTCTTGGGTATCTACTCTGTGCCGGATGGTTGTGCTACACTAGGTATAAAAAGATGAACAACAGAAGTTCCAATCTTCAAGAGGTTCAGAGTCGTCGAAGAGACAAGAAAATAAGTAACCCAAGAGGAAAGTCCTCAGAAAGCTATGGGAACACAGAAAATGATGACTCTAACTCTCTTTGGGTAAGGGGGCCAAAAGAGAAAAATTCACTGAATAGACGAATAGGAGTTTCAGAAATGGACCTTACTCTTTTCTCTTAAGGCTTTCAACTGATTAGATGAAGCCCACTCACATTATGGAAGCAAGGTGGGAAGTGGCATTAACAGGAAGAAGGAACAGCACCTGCAAAGGCAGGAAAACATGAAGCTCTGCAGTAAACCTGGAGTGGTGGAACACCAGGTACGCATTAGAGGTGCTAAGAGACAAGGCTTTAAAGTGAGAGTGGGAGACGCCAGTGGTAAAGAACACAAAGGGCCTCACAATCTCCATACCAAGGAGTTTAGACTCTAACACTCAATCTATGAGACACTAATAAAAGATTCTAAGTAGGAGAGGGGCATGCTCAGAAAAATATGTAAGAAAGCTCACTCCAGCAGGAGAACACGCTTCTAGAGGGTAACAGTGGAGATAAACAGATTAATTACAGAGTCACTATTGCTAGTCTAGATGGGGATGATGATGAAAAGATACAAACTCAGACGTATCTAGGAGGTAAAAATCAAACAACTATTGGCTATAGGAATAGGGAAGGGGAGGGTCCAGGATGACTTCCAGATCTCAACTTGGGTGAGTGAGTGGTGAGCAGTGACACCCAGGCAGATAACACAGGAAAACAAGCCTGTGCAATCATTCAAACAATGGGAGAGCCCTAGGCCAGGAACTGTGGTTGTCTGGAGAAAGGGGCTGAGGGAAGCCGGAGGGAAGAGGAGCAAAGATGAGTTTACCTTTGGTCTTGTGTAACGTAAGCTGCCTATTTAGTGAAGCTACTGAGTGGCACATGAAGAGTGGAAAAGGAGAGTCATTAGCTTATAAGAAGCAACTGAAGACAAGGAGAGTGTATAGAATAAGATCAACTTGAGATACCAATATTCTAAGGGGGTGAAGGAAAAACCTGAAAAACAAATGAAGAGTGGATCAGAGAAGTAAGAGATGAATCAGGAGATAAGGTGATGCCAAAAATGGCAAAAGAAGAGAAAAAATTCAAGAAGGATGGGGAGGGTGAAAATTAAAGTTAAATGTATTGCATCATAAAGCCAAGTTTACTAACAGAAGTTATTCAAAACAGGAACAGACTACCTTGTGAGGTAACAAATCACATCAAGTGAATGATTCAAGCAGAGTCATCTATGCCACATGTTGACGGGAGGATTCTCACCTTAAATGAGAAGAGTAGCTACATGACCTCTACAGAACACCTCTGAAGTCTAGGTCAAGGCTAGCCTCAACACTACTATGACATTTCATCAAATATTCATTTGCAATCTAATTAATGAATAGGATATTTGATTATTCTAATAAATGTTAAAAAAAATCTCTACATATTTCATCTAACTCAAAAGCAACCAATACTGGATTAAAATTTTTCACTAACTCTGTTTTTGGGGTACAAAAAATTGCTGGAGAAAGTGTGGAAATTGCTAATCTATTTCAAATTCAAAGTGATTTCAAACGACCTCTCAACACTGTCTTCCTAACTTTCCCCATTCCTGCATCCCAGTTCCACCCCATTACCATTCCTTAACCCCTTTGCTCTAATTAGAGAAGACTTGCATTGCACAGGCTGCTGTCACGTCGTTCACGTCATCTTCCCCTAGGTCCCTTCATATCTTTTCAGTAATCTGCCCTTCCTTCCTTCCTAAAACCAGACTGCGTGCCTGATCATTTCCAACCCTCCACCTCTGCTGACCATTTTCCATTACCAGTCCTTCCCTCTCCTTTTTCCTCCACCTCCTCCTGTCTATACGTCTACCCTAAGTTGGAAATACACTCCGTTTCTCCTGTTGCCCCATACCCTATTTTTCTCCTTTTACTACCAAGTATCTCCATTCCCCTACCACCTACTCACTGCAATCCCCTACAGAAAGGTTTCAGAGTCTATCCCCTCCCCCCCACTGACAAATGACGGCCGACTTACTGACAGCTTAACCAGTTGCTGCTTACTCCCTTCTCAATTCCCTCATCTCTCTGCAGTTTAGGACACTAGTGACCAACGCCTCCTTATGGCAGTTATTCCTTTCACTTTTGTAATGAGGCAAGAGGCTTTGTGCAAAGCACTCTGGACCGAAAATCAGAAGATCTGTGTTCTGGATGTAATTCTACCATTAATGAGCTGTGCATCTCCTCACCTGCTTTCCCACTCACCCCTCCTCAGATCCCGCTTCCGAGACACTCAGGCTAGGTTAGGTCCCTGCGGCAAACTTTCTCAAAACCTATTCTCCTTTGTAGCGCTTATCACAACTACTTGATTATATAATTAGTAGTTGAATGGCTATCTTTCCTACCCACACACCAGAGTGTAAGCTCCATGAAGGCAGAGTGTGCATTTCAGCTCAAAATAAAAGCCCACCAACTGAATCAACACTGAAAGAGACGATACGACCACTTCCTAAGGCTCTGCTTATTATTTTTATTAACCTAAGTCATAAAATTACTAGCACTCACAAAATTACTGACAAAATTTTAAGCAGACATTCCACCAAATACCTAGAACACACATAATATCATGTACTACATATAAAATTAAGTAAGAGAGAACTTGTCTTCCAAGATAGTTACATTTTTCTTGCCCATCCACAAGAATAGAAAGGGCTGGATGAGTTACCTACATTCCAGGACCAAAATGTGTATTATAAACCATGTTGAGGCTGAATGTGCAAGTGCCAGTTTGATACTAAAACATTCCTGTTTATATAGCTGTTTAGATAACAACCACTGGCACTTTAGGTTTAAAGCTCTTAATATTGGCAAAAGCCATGAGCTATCTATACTCTGCAAGAAAACCCAAAGAAAGTTTATCAGCCAAGTTACATTACAGTGTGATTTTAAATATTTCATATAAACCAGGGCAAAACAAGTAATGGTTTAGTGATTACAAGTTGCCACTGTGCCTGATCAGATGACTTTCCAAGTGCAAAAATTTCAGATCTCACGTAAGTAGGTGAAAGTTCTGTCAAGTTTTATGATACACCACACCTGGTCAAACAATTTAAGCAGATCACAGGCTAATTTGTCCTTCAACTGCTGTGTGTGTCCCGCTCCTCAAACGTACTGAAAGGTCTTTATGACAGGTTTGGCGTTTTGTTATTGGCCCCCTTAAATAAACAGGAATGCAAGTGACTTCAATAACCTATGATAGTCAAAAAACCTGAAAATGGCTTTCAAGGCTAACTATATTTACATATTGCCACTTGAAAACAACGTACAAGCACTTAAAATCTGATGCTTAGACAATTCCCTAGGTTAAGAGCAGTTAACAGGCTGTAAATATAGTTGTAATCCCCAGGAAAGAAGAGGCATTTCATAACGGAAACACTAACAGATAAAATCACTCGGAGCCGTTCTCCAACGCGCCCTCATCCTTAAGTCACCACCACTGGCAGCGAGGGGGCAATTGTGCCCCTCGGACACCCTCTCTCTTCCGCAGCCTGCGGGCTACAATCCCCGCACAAGGAGTCCCTCGAGATCAGCCAGCGCTTCCCTGCGACTTCAGCAGGGAAATCCCCGGCCAGGGAATGCCGAGTTCAAGCCCCCCTCCCCCTTCCTTTCCTGAAAATTAACGAATTGGCCGTTACGATTGTTTATTTAATGAGGTGTGTAGTGGCCTCTACTGGTGCTTGTGTGAGCACAAGAATGTCCCACTCTTACAAGTGGGATGAGCTTGGGGGAGGGGAGGGAGCCGAGGGGTGAACCTGCCTCCGGGTACAAAGCGGACAACTAGACCCCGGAGCCCCCGACGCGCCCTCGCGGCCGCCCCTCCCGCGGCGGCGCCCCCGCCCGCCTACTTCACTCTCCACCCGACACGACCCCCTTTCTCTTCGGCAACCAGAGACGAGGCAGAGAAGTTCCTGCACGTTCCCTCCTGGATCCTAAACAAAAACACGGCAGCCGCGGCCGGGGCCGCGCCCCCGCCCCCACCCCGCGCTCCTGGGCCCGCGCGCCGCGGCCGCAGCTTACCTGGGGACTGCGGCGGGGAGCCGCTCCTGGCGGCCGCGGCGCCCGGCGCCCGGCGCCCGAGCAGCAGCAGGCAGCAGAGCCAGAAGGAGGAGGTGCCGAGGAGTCGCCGGGCTCCCCGCTCCGCCGCCATCTCTTCCCTGCGAGCGGCGGCGGCGGCGGCAGCGCCGCGGAGCCCTCGCCGCTCTGCCTCCCGCGCGCTTCAGCCGGTCCCTCGCTGCAGGCTCGGCTCCCGCGGCCGCCGCCGCCGCTGCTCCAGCCCGGCCCGACCCGGCCCGCGCGGCCCCTCTCGCGGGAGGGGACACTCGGGGGCGCCTCCCTCCTGCAGGGGGGCGGAGAGGGGAGGAGAGCGGAGAGTCAGTACATTCCGGGGCGGGGGGGCGGGGGGCTCGGTCTCCAGGTTCCAGGCGCCGCCACCCGCCGCCGACTCCGGCTCCACACACCAGCGCGAGGGGGGCGGAGACCGCAGGCGGCGGGGGTGGGGGGCGGGGGCCCGGGGCGCGCACACCCGCGCACGCGCAAGCGCGCGCCTTCCTCGCCCGCACGCCCTCGGCTCCGCGCGGGGCCCGCCCCGCTCCAATCCCGGCTGCCGCCTCGCGGGCCCGCTCCCCTCCCCCTTCTCCCCGGAGCCGCGGACGGGTGCGGGGCGCGCGCGCCTGGCGCTGCTGCTGGCGTCAGGGAAACCCCGGAGAAGCGGATCCTCCTTCTCCTCCTCGCGTCTGCCCGCAGCCCCTGTCCCTCGCGCCCCCTCTTCCTCCTCCTCACCCTGGGGAGAAATTCCCCTCTCACCTCCCCAGAGTCCTGCGGCTGTCGAGACTGAAGGGAGAGGCCCTCCGAGCCCGGGCTTGTCCGGGAGGCCGCAGCGAGAGCGCACCTCTCCTCTGCCTGGGCCCAGGGCCTCTATATAGGGCCTCGGAGGAAACCGAACGGCCTCCGGGAGGAAACCTGGGTGCGCAGAGCGTCGGCCCCGGGGTTTATGTGCTCGCCAAAAACAATAGTGATCCCGCCCGGCTCTTGCTGGGACCTGGCGCGGCTCCCGTGGGAGGGGGCCGGCCGCGCCGCCGCTGACCTCCCGCTTCCCGGCCGCGCCGCCCTCGCCGCGCGCTTCCCCTGGACGGTGCCGGGCCTCCCGGGCCGCGGGGCCCGCGCCCCCCGCCTCTCGGCCCCGGGCCAGGGAAGCGGGGCACAGACAAAGGTGCCCCGTGTGCACTCCTGCAGCCAGTGCGGGGCCCGGGCCGAGCCCCAGGGCTCCCCGGGGCTAATGCTCTGGCCGCGGCTGAAAGCTGTTACCTCTGCCTTTGCGAGGCGCTTCGCGCTTTCCTACCTGGAAATCACGTCTTTCGCCGGTAACCGAGAGCAAGGGGGCTGTGATTGTAAACCACTTGGTAGTCGGGGGACAGCACCCAGGCTCCCCAAAGTTGGAGGAAAGCTGTTTGTAGTTGCACTGCTCATAAGAATAATTTTATAAGCTGCACCCATGAAAATATTTTAAGAAAATTTTTTTCTATGGTTATGCACTTGGAGAGTCGCGTTTGATTGTTAATGAGTTGGATTTTTACTCACTGTTCTGTACAGTCAATAACCAAAATATGTTGCTTCCCACAAGAAGATAGCAATCTCTCTTAACTCCCACAGCGCTCTGTGCCTTCTCATAATTACTTTCTTCAGATATTTTCTTTTATTCTCAAGTGCCAAAATAAGCGGTATAAGGCTTGCTTTAACATTGGGAGGGAAGAGCTCAGAATCGTCATAGAACCTCTTAAATCATCAAAACGGTAGAATTAGAAATCCTCATCACAGTTCCTTGAAACAATTTCCTCTTAACAGAGCTAACACACGCTCATTGTTTTCCACTAGGGAAACAATTTAAATATCTTTTTGTTTTGCTTAGAGTTGTTAACCAGCAAAAATATTTCCTAAATACCCCTGATTGACCTGTTAAATTAGAAATAGATTACCTCCCAATTACTTCACAAGTATTTGCTTAATTAACCTTTAATAATCACATCATTATTCAGTTTTCTGAGATAATGAGAAAAGCTCTTTGAAAACTATAAACTGCCTCGCAAATGTTAATATTCAGATACCTTTTCTAAGTCTGGAAATTTTTCATTATATTAAAACTATAAAATGCATAATGTGACTTCTAAAATGAAGCTTACATTTCTCTCCAAGCTTGAAAAATATGAGTTGTGGCTAATAAAGTAATCAGATTGATTTTCATGCATGACTCCTGTGAACTCTCATTAATTTATCAGCACGCTGTGTATATCAGGGTTAAATCAAAACTTGAAAGCACTTTCTGTAAAATAGAGTGACTACATCATGTATTTCTGACTTGTGATTAAATCACAATTTTAATCAAACCCACTCTCACAAACCACTAATAGATGGAGCCCCAGATTAAAAGTTACAGATCTTACATCATTTCAAGAGTTTAATGAAATAACCCAGGCATATACTTGAATTCAGATCCTTCGCTTTGTTTCAATGTAACTAACCTTGTAGACATTCCTTTTAAAAAACCTCATTTGGAGTAGTTAATCTCTCATTTCTCTAGTAAGGAATCTCTGACAAAAGATTTTCTTAGGCATCTTGTTTATCACTTTCATTCTTCCAACAAGATTTTCAACTAGTAACTCAGTACACGTTTATACAGCTAATCGATGTAATTTTATGTAGTCTAAACTAAATCTGTGAAGAGGTATTAACCATTCATGAAATAAACACTTTTTTCATCTAAGTAAGGTTAGAACACGAGGCCCATGTTCAAGCAATAGTGCACAAAGAAACTTTTAGAGCAAAGAAAACAGACTGGCCATTGTATGTTAGCATAAGTTATCAAAGTGCAGGCCAAAAATAACCAGACCAAATATTCTCGTGAAATTTATTCTGCGTACTTTGATATAAAAATTAAGTGAAAAATTAATAAAGCCTATGAATATAAAACCTGGTAAGAATCTTATTCTCTCTAGTAAAAGGATTATTTTTCAACTTTAGAGAGGCAATATAGTTCAGTGTTTAATTGCTGGCAGTCCTTGGATTGTGCGGCTGGTTCCCTGGCTGAATCCCAGCATCCACAGTAGGGAAGAACAAAGCTAGCCACCTGACTAGTAGATCCCAGTATAGAGCGCTTCCCAATCACAGCACATTTTAACCAGGAGTTACCCTTGTCATAAGAACATGATTTTCTTCTGCACAGATGTTGACATTTTTACATTTGCCCTTCACATTCCACTAGGTGAGAATTTTTATTTCTCCCTTTCTCTTCCAAGAGCCACCTGTTTTAGGGAGCCATCTCTGATTAAGCCTAATTAAGAATGATATGTGCTCCTTAAGGACAAAGCCTGCACAGTATTAATTTTGCTCGTTACACGTTGCTTAATCACATATCTTTAGTTCAACAATCTATTAATTCAACAAATATTAGTGAGGACCTATATTTGCCAGATATTGTGCTGGGTGCTGGGATAACAAAAGTATTGGTTCATTCATTCATTTTATATTTATAAAGCACTTACTATATCTCAGGTCCCACCCTGTGTTAGGAGAAGGCAATGGTAAGCCAGAGAGACAAGGTTCACAGTCTCAAGGAAAGATAAACAATTATAACAAAGAAGTGTGAAGAGCATTATGGTAAGGAAAGATAAGGAGTGTGGGAAAACATAGTGAGAGTATCTAACCTGATGAAATTAGCAGGCGGGGCGGGCAGGGGGAGAGAGGGGGAATTAGAGAAGCAGCATTGGTCTCTAAACTGAGGGAAGTGGAGGGAGAAGATGAGTAGGAGTTGGCTACCCTGCAGTGGGAATTGACATCTGATTTGCATTCTAGAAGGATAACGCTGGCTGTTTCGTGGAGTGTAGGTTGAAAGGAGACAAGACCAAGAAAACCAGTTCAGGTTTTGTTAACAGTTGTCTGGGGAGGAGACGCTGGTGGCCTGGAGTAAAGCAGAGGGGATTAAGAGAAGTGAACAGATAAGAGAGAGAAAGAGAGATTCGGGAGATAGAAACAACAGGAGTTGGGGGGAGAGAGGAGACATGGGTGACTCAGATTTCAGCTTGGGCCACTGAGCCAAAGTGGTGACAGTCACCCAGAAGAGACCGAGGAAGAGGAGCAGATGGGAGGCAATGTGAGTTTAACTTTGGGTAAGTTTAATTTAAAGCGCCTATTGGACATTTGAGTAGAAATATCAGTAAACTGTTATTTTGGGTCTGGAGCTTAGCAGGGAGAACTGGGCTAGAGAGATGAGTCATCAGCTTATAACATATATGCCTGAATGTAAGATACCTCTGAATATAGGGTGAGCCCCCATTTTCCCAATGAAAATCCATCCCCCAATAAAACTTTGTGGCCAACTTGAATACATAAACTTTTAGAGATAGAGATGAAGTAATCAATGATTTACTTATAATGTTTAATGTATTATTTTAACTACACTTGCATACTTCACATATTATATAAAATATAATTTTAAAAATAATTTTATTGAAACTCTTTACAGTGTTTTTATCATTACCAGAATCACAGTTTGAGTCTCTGACATAATTTCCCAGGATACATCATTCACTTCCCCCTAAATTTTGGACTCTACGGTGTTTTCACTGGGAATTTTATTCCCGGACACAGTACCTAATTGCACTAGATCAGTTATGCTGTAATCATATTCACCTATCACATGGCTTTTTATAGTGACTTGTAAAGGCTTGCTTACAAGGACATTCAACACTTGCAAATGTGAAGGTATTTCCCTAGAAGTAATTTCTAAATCTGTGTTAAACTTCTTCCTTTCTTACAAATTCCGTCATGTGGCTTCTATATGAACATTGAATAAGATCATTTCACGCTAATGTATAGTCCCCCAAGGAGCATTTTATTGTTCAAAATAATTGATGTCCATCCAGTAGGATGAAGGGCTTTTTAAAGGTCAGAATATGAGGCAACTCTCTCTTTTCTAAGGGAGTATTGAGGGGATTGGAGGATATTGGTCTTATATTCAGGTACATAGGGTAATGCCAAGAAAGTGGTTGAGACTGGCCCGAGAAAGTTTAGCACAAAAAGAATTGGAGACTAAAAAAGAAAAAACAAAACACAACAAAAACAATTGAGGACTACTAGGACCAAACCTGAGGAACATCAACAAATTTAAGGTATAGGACAAAAAGAGGAACTTGCAAAGAAACAAGCAGACGTGTAAAAAGAAAACCAGAAGCATGTGGTATCACAGAAGCCAAGGAAAGAAAGTGTTTCAGGAATGCAGGAGTGGTCAACAGTGTCATGTGCTCCTGAGAGGTCAAGTAAGATAAGATCTGAAAATATCCGTTGGATTTAGTGAAAAGGTAATCATGAACAACCTTAGTAAGCGCAGCTGCAACAGAGTGGGGCCA